ATATATATATATATATATATATATATATATATATATATATATATATATATATATATATATATATATATATATATATACCAGGAGGTGTCTTGATTTGGTTTATCTTTACCCTTTCACGATTATGCTTTAATTATAACTTTTTTTCATACCTTCTCTGCTTGCTTTTATTACACTACTCTCTAAATTGGTTTCTTTAGTTTGTTTGCTTCGTTAGTTGCTGTAATAAGCGGAAATAAGTTAAAATACCACTAATATAATTCCAGGATTGTGTTATATAAGTAAGATGGCCAAGATTAACTGTCTTTTTTTTTATTTATTTTTTTTACAATTCACAGGAAGAATGACAAAACCTCTAAGAGGAGCAAAGATGCTAAATGAAATATGTCAAACAATCTGGTTTCTTAAGTTTGCAGCCCTTTAAAAACTGTGTTGAAGCCCTTTCCAGTTCAATATCTCGAATCACTTGATGGAGGCGTTATATAGGTTGATGACCACAGGTAGGAATGATTTCCTGGGGCGCTCTGTGGTGCATCTGGGTAGGAGGAGTCTTCTGCTAAAGGAGCAGTCTAGCAGATCAGGAGAACATCTCTTTTTCCCACCTCTCTTCATCAGATTCCATTGTTTCATTTGTTGGATGTAACACTAGATGCTTGCCAAGCCATTGCCAATTAGAGATGTAATGATTTTACAAAAAATTCATTTGGGAATAGTTGGACAGTTAAGTTGCCTCAATATGATCATTGAAACTTATCTCTAAGGTAATAAAATCCCCAAAAATAAATGGCAATTTTGTATTACAGAGCATTGATTGTTGAACTGAAGTGAAGAGGAAGGAAAACTTTATTTAAGGGTGACGCTTTTAGAACAAACTGGTTACTTCAGCTTTCTATTGACACTTTTAATCCAAACTGGTTATTTCAGCTTTCTATCTCATGTGCATTTCTCCTTAATACATTAATACAGCATCTTCTGAAAACAGCACAACTAACCAACGGGCTAACATTTTTATTTTATTCTCTTCTTTTTAATCATTTTTAGAGAATACAGAGACTTTAAGCATTTAAAGAGATTTAAAAAAAAACTATGCAATAAAGAAAATTAGAAGTTAAAATAAAAAATAAAAATATTTTTTTTATGTATGAAGTTCCTTCCTTCCTTCCTTCCTTCCTTCCTTCCTTCCTTCCTTCCTTCCTTCCTTCCTAATCAT